CAATACTCCGTTCAATTACACACTCTCTGACTGCAGTTTAATTACTCACTACCTCGCGTCGCTTCGTGGCCGGTCTTATATATACAAGACTACACTATATCTAGTAATCTCCCGACAATTCACGAAGGTTCGAGAAGGACGTGGCGTGATACTAATCACGTGACCTCGCTGACGCAATAGTATTTATAAACGTCGTAAAAGTTAAACGAAAACTTGGACCGAATTATGAGTCGCTACGAACTTATGCCAACTTACTATATTTAGCTTATTAAAAAAACAAAGGTGTTTACAATATGACACTTTTGTTTATATATATACATATTTGTAAGGAAAACTTCGTTATGTGCACAATATAAAGGTTTAAATAGATATTTTTCTCGGTAATTTTTTCAAAAAATATAGTAACGTAACAACTGTTCTCAAGTATATTTCTGTTGTGCTGTTACACTCTCCGTTTATTTATAGCCGATTTGGAAATTATTTTATCTCAAAGAGAATCAGATAATAATAACGTATAAAAAGTGAATACCTATCGAGAAAACTTATGTAAAATACTTATGGACTTAGATGGCGCTTTAGTATTTGTTGTCATGTAAGTATAGTAAATATGAACAAAAGTAATAACAAAGAAGTTTATAAATATTTATTAATTTATGGTGAACATTAAAATATTAATGTATGATGTATCCAGATAATACACATATGATATGTACTTTCAAAGAGAGGATGAGTAAGTGTGACTTTTATATATATATTATAAACTTAAATTAGAAGTTAAAGTAAACTCGTCGGTTTAGTGTTTTGTTAAGACTGAAGTCTAATCAAGGTGATAGCGGTGGACTGTTGCTACTGCTTCTACTAAGTACTAGTATAGTTGATCGCAGTTCGTAATTTGTGTTCTATCGAGAGAAAGAAACTTCTTTTTAGGAGTAATTTGCTAATTCAACTTTTCAGATTTATTCCGTACTTCTAATTTCTGTACTCGTCTGTGATAGTATTACTGTTAGTACCATTGTAAGTGGAAACTTAACCTTATAAGTTATTCTAAGGCCAAGTAAAGAAAAACATGTTCAGTGTGTGGAGTTTCTTAAAAAAAAAAAAGGAAGGAGGAAGTACTTTTTTTAATAACCTCCTTCAAACCAAGATTGCACACTTTTCATGATTGTTGATCGTTTTCAAAGGGACCATGTCAAACAGAAGTCATCTTTGTTTCATTTTTTCATCAAAACGATACAGATTTTTTAAGACAAACACAAAAAAAGGGCAAAATTAATCAACTCTGTTCATCTCTTATTTTTTCTTATTCAGGAGTCTTTTTTTTTTGTTTCTTTGTATGGTTGAGAAACAATAATACAAAAAAGGTAAAAATCACTAAAAAATGGGGAGGCAGCTGCAATAAAGGGAAGCAGGTGGAGACATTAAACATGTATTTTTTTTTTTACTTGACCTAATAGTGTTTGTTGAAAAGGTAAATGTCAGTTTAATTAAGTTTCTGAAACAGTATGAACAGTATGTTTTAAAGTTGTTTTTTTCCGAAAAGTTACAGGATATTAAACTACTAGTGATATGATATGTAATATTTTAATGTTTACATTTCATGCTTGTTAGTTTTTATTTCTTTAACATTATTAATCTAAACCTTTGTGACTTGAGACAAAATAGTAGATAAGTAACAGAAACTTGAATAGGTTAGGATTTGTATATTGCCATTTCCTGTTTTAAAAGAAACCTTTTGTTGTTGATGGTTGGGGCCATTTGATTTTGCAATAACATTAAATACAACTTTAAATGACACTTTGAAATATTTTCTAAATGGATTTTAATTGATTTGTCATGTTATTTTCTTTATGTTGCTTGTGATGTTTTTCTTGAATTAACTCATAATTGGTTCTTTGTTCATAATTGTTGGGATTTAGTGATTTACTGTCATAGAAATGAATTAACTATTGCTGATGTAATATTTTAGTTAAGATATATATATAGATAAATTTGTATAGTGCATGCTAACAAAGTACATTTTAAATTACTTTTTATGTTTCATACTTTTTTTAATCTATTTTTTAAAATTTTTATTGAAACTTTACAAGTTATAAAGATTTTGGTCTTCATAATGTTTGCTTCATGGTTAAAAAAAACAATATATATTTAAATGTTTTGTTGGTTTCTTTCAACAACAACAAAAATTGTGTTATTGCATTATATATTGTAATAATTTCTAGCATATTAGTGTAGGGCTACTTTATATTTCTGGTAATTATTTCATAAGAAAAGTTGATTCTTATTATATTTATAGAATTGCTTGTTTGCCTTTGGTGCATATGTTGCTTGACTTTGTGGCTTTCACAGTTTGTTTGAAATATTAAGTATTGTGGTTATTTATATCAGAGTTTCTTGTATAGTTATTTCACTGTTTTTTAAATGTTTGTATGATATTCACTAGACCACATGAATGTCAGAAATTATGTTTTATTTTATCACGTTGGAGTGGGGTCCCTGAACATGTGGGTATATCAAACATTATTAACTTAATGTAAGAGGTGATAATAGATGAGGCCCTCTATTACTTATTATAAGCTTAACTTAAGGTAAGAGGTGATAATAGATGAGGCCCTCTATTATTTATTATAAGCTTAACTTAAGGTAAGAGGTGATCGTAGATGAAGCCCTCTAGTATTTATTATAAGCTTAACTTAAGGTAAGAGGTGATCATAAATGAGGCCCTCTATTATATATTACTAGCTTAATTTAAGGTAAGAGGTGATCGTAGATGAGGCCCTCTATTATTTATTATAAGCTTAACTTAAGGTAAGAGGTGATTGTAGATGAGTCCCTCTATTATTTATTATAAGCTTAACTTAAGGTAAGAGGTGATCGTAGATGAGTCCCTCTATTATTTATTATAAGCTTAACTTAAGGTAAGAGGTGATCGTAGATAAGGCCCTCTATTATTTATTACAAGCTTAACTTAAGGTAAGAAGTGATCATAGATGATGCCCTCTATTATTTATTATAAGCTTAACTTAAGGTAAGAGGTGATCATAGATGAGGCCCTTTATTATTTATTATAAGCTTAACTTCAGGTAAGAGGTGATTGTAAATGAGACCCTCTATTATTTATTATAAACTTAACTTCGGGTAAGAGGTGATCATAGATGAGGCCCTCTACTATTCATTATAAGCTTAACTTCAGGTCAGAGGTGATCATAGATGAGGCCCTCTATTAGTTATTTAGGAATATCAATACTTACAAGTATTCTGATTTTTTTCTGCAGACATGAACCACTTTTCTTGCTTTTTTTTTATTGTTGGCCGACATAGTATCTGACAGTTAGAATTACCTACATTTTATATATGACATCCATTATTCAGAAAATATTTAGTCATACATTTAAGTTATTTGAATAGGCTTCACGAATGGAAAAAATATAAAATGTTAATATTTTGTACCTGCTGTACATTTTGATGCACTTTTAATTATATTTCTTTACTTTCGATATGTTGCATTACCTCCTATCACATAAATAGCTATTCTTGTTCAGTGCTGCCCTCTATATGCAAAACTGTTCGTGCATTCCACAAGCCTTGAGCTCCCAGGTACCTTACAATCAACTGGTTCAATTTCATCTCGCACATAATCATCACGTGAAAACCCTCCACCAATAAGAGTGCGACACATTCTCCTGATGCATGTGATTCCCTCTGTTGGATTCTACCGAACTATCACTTCTCCTTTGGCAGTAGTTGTGTCAAGATGTTTTTGTAGTGTTCTTCAGTCTTGTTTTTTTGTTCAACTCTTTTTTTAATATTATTCCAAAGTGGATTTGTTTTTGTTTTTTCTTTGTTTTTATAATATTAATGACTTTTCAGATAAATTGTTTTCCCAGTTTTTTATTTTTTTTTCTCATCAAACAATTGTGTTTTATTTTTCATTGTTACACAATGGATTCTGAAGTTCAGGTTACCACTCTGGAGGTAATACCTTCTACTATCACACTCACGCAGGGTACAGGTGGGGGGTGATTTGTCTTTGGACATATCGACTATCATCTTTCATAAGATTGGTCGTTATATGAGTCAACCTGCTTCTCCTGATCTTGCCTCAGTTTCTCCTCAAACTGCCAAATATGTTGGGGTTTGACGAGGATTTTGACAGCGCTGGATCTTCTCGTGCCACTACTGCGGAACCAGCTAGGCCTAATATGGCTTTTCTGGACATGATTTATCAGGTAAGTCCTGTTTTTTCCACTTCCCTGATTTCATATGATTCCCTTCCTTCTTTGTTACATGATATCTTCTTCTCTTAGTATTTGGTTTTCACCCACTTTTCCAGATATTAGGGTTCATGCTGAGCGTTTTGTTTCTCATATGATGGATGGTGCCAGCATGCCTTGCCCTCAACCAGCTCCGGATCAGATTGCCTTAGCCTACCATCAGGCTGAATGTCCATTTCTTGATTCTTATCACTTTGAATCACTTTTGCCTGTGTGTGTGTGGTGGGGGT